AACCCTTGAGTAACTGGCCATTTTTATTTTTATAAGATGTTTTATTGACCTTTTAAAAATAAAATAAAACAAAACATTACTATCACTTCCTAACACAATCCTCCCAATAGAACTCTCTCGTAACAAAGAAGTACAATTAAGCAAAATAAACTAGCACATTGACCAAGCCTAGCTGCCTATACCTAGTTCCACATAATTTATCCAGGATGAAAATCAGGGAGAGGTGGTGCTTCTGAGGAGAAATGAAGTTTGTGAAGCTCAGGAAAAGACTGGGAATGGTCTTCAAGCTGTCTGAAAGATTATAAAAGCTGAGTCCTGCCAGCACTAGAGCTCCAAAGACCAAGGTCAGTGGGAAGACAGAAGGATGAAGGATGTGGTCAGGGATAACGGACAAGAGGCTGGGATATGGAGGCTGTGGAGACAGTACAATACAATATAACACACTAGACCGCACTACAACACACAACACACCACGCTATATTATGCTATATTACATCACAACACAATATAAAATAATATACTACAGTACAATATAACATGCTACAATGTACTGTACTACACTATTCTACAATATAAAACAATACACTACACTCAATATAACATGCTACAATACACTATACTATACTACACTACAACGAGATGCACTCTACCTCAGTACAGTGTACTACGATACATAACAATGCACCATATACAATACAATATAAAGCAACATAGTGCACTACAATGTAAGATGCTACAATAAGCCGTACTACACTACAACACAGTAAGATATATGGTGCTGCAATACACTACAATACAATATACTACAACATATCTCATTATATTATATTATATTAGCTACAATAAAATATGCCACAATATAAAATAATACATTACACTGTACTACAGTATCATATAATGTGCTAGGCAGACTATACTATACTACAGTATGAAATGATATACTACAATATAATATGCTATAATAGACTATTTGTTGTTCAGTCACTTCAGACTCTTAGTGACCCTATTTGGCATTTTCTTGGCAAAGGTATTGGAGTGGTTTGCTATTTCCTTCTCCAGCTCATTTTACAGATAAGGAAACTGAGGCAAATGGGATTAAGTTACTTGTCCAGAGTCACACAGCTAATGTCAGGCCAGATTTGAACTCATGAACGTGAGTCTTGTTGATTCCAAGCCCAGTGCTCTATATATTGTACCACCTAGCTACACCTAATTATACTATATATATATATATAGTATACTACACTACACTACAGTATGATGTGCTACAATATAATATTATCTTTTCTTGGCTGATCTGTTTTAAATGTAGCTGTTCAAAGGGCCCAAACTACTCCAAGATACAGAGAGCTGATCGTAGTGGACAAATACAGACGGTGGACAACACGCAACACAATATAAAAGCAACACAATTTACTACAATGCACTGCACTACAGTACAATACAATATATCACAGTGTGGTACAACACAATACAATAAAAATTCATTTCAGGGCAACCAGTGGGACAGCTTAGAGCAGAAAAAGAGCAGCTACAACTTGAGGTGGGGTGGAGTCCTCACGCTAGCAGAGATTTGTTTCAAATACTGGGTTCTATAGCATGTCCTGTCAGCATCCATCCAAATATCCCCTGCCTTCTGCATCCACACTATTCCCAGCTAATGGCCTGGAAGCCTTAAAGTATTTCAAATGTCACAATTCAAATGTAGACATCCTGTATTTCCTAAGGTGGGAAAATGGACTACTATGTCAGAAAGTTTTCAACCCTAAACAAAGGTGTTAACCTTCAGTTCATCAGAACATTCATTTCATCAGACCAGCTTATTGTGGGTGAGTTTGTCAGATGCACTTCTTCTCTGAGAGGCAGCTCCCAGCAGAGCATGAAAGAATTTGATACCAGAGTGAATGGAACATGGTGGAGAAAGAGGAAGGGGAGAGAAGGTGTTCACTGAATGAGTCTAGGCTGTAGGAGATTTCTGACATTGTCATTCCACCGAAACTGCTCTCTCCAAAATTACCAATGATTTCTTAATCACAAAATCTAGTGGCCTTTTCGCTGTCCTCATCTTTTTGACCTCCCTGTCAACCATCCTTTTCTCCCTGACATTCTCTTTTCTACAGGTTTTTGTGATACTGCTTTTCCCTAGTTCTGCTACTACTTATCCTCCTTATTCTTCTTCATTGGATCTTCATCTAAGTTGTACCTACTAACTGTGTGTCCCCCAAGGCTCTGTCCAGGGCCCTCTTTCTCTTCTTCTCCCATATTGTTTGACTTGGTGATCTCATCAGCTCCAAAGGAGTCAATTTTCATATTGATGCCAATGATCCTAAGTTTTACTCTTCAGTCCTAACTTTCTGTTCAACGAACTTTACCCCCAATCTGCCTCTTCTTCCTAATTTTCCCACAGGTGTCAAAAGCACGATCTTTCTCCCAGTCACTCTTAAACTTATGTGACATCTTGGGTTCTGTTCTCTTACCTCCTATGTCCAATCAGTTGCAGAGTTTTATTGTCTCTGCCTCTACATCTCTCTTATATGTTCCCTTCTCTCTTCTGACCCTGCCACCACACTCTGGTGCAAGCCCTCATGACCTCATATCTAGACTATTACAATAGTTTCCTTGCCTTAAGTCTCTTTCCATTACAGTTAATTCTCCACTCAGTTGTCAAATTGATCTTTCTAAAGCATGTCACTTCCATCCCTCAACTCCATTCATTTAACTCCAGTGGCTCCCTATTGCCCCTAGGATCAAATATAAAATCCTCTGTTTTCTAAAGCTGTAATCTGATTCCTTACCATTTTTCCATTCTTACACCTTATCCCCTCCTTGGACTGTGTGATCCAGTGACCCTGGCCTCCTTGTTCCTTGCCCAGAATACTCCATACATTTTCACTGGCTGTTCCCCCAAGCCCAGTATTCACTCATCTCTGCCTCCTGGCTTTCCTGGCTTCTTTCAAGCTATAACACTTCCCACCTCTCCTTATCCTAAGTGTTTTCCCTCTGAGACTATCTTCAATTTAGCCTGTATATATCTTGTTCATACGTAGTTATTTGGATGTTGTCTCTGCCATTAGACTGTGAGCTCCTTGATGGAAGGGATTGTTTCTGGCCTTTCTTTTGTATCCCCATCACTCAGTACAATGCCTGGCTCAAAGGAGGCATTTATTTGTTGCATGTATGTTTGCTTCAAAGTAGAGAGATGAGATCATCCCAAGATGTGTCTGTCTGTTCATGACTTCTCCCAGTGCCATTGCTGCTCAAGGCTTTAATCCCTCTAGGTTAAATCATGCCTCTCTCAGTTGCTTTTGCCAATACCAACCCCTATAACTCAGTGGTCACTGTCCTTACAAGCTAAGGGTTGTCAATTTATTCTTGGAGATTTGACTGAAAGTCCGAATGTGGCCCATACCTGCATTGGTCTGGGCTGCTTGGAAATGTGGAAATCTTTCTCACTATTGAGGCCTAATTATTTTGAGATGGTTCTCTCCTGGTTGACTTATAGCGCTCTCTCTCTCTCTCTCTCTCTCTCTCTCTCTCTCTCTCACACACACACACACACACACACACACACATACACACACACACACACACATCCTCAGTGTTTAATATTTCTAACCTTCCCTCATTACTCAATCCTTCCCAGCTTGTAACTCAGCTTTGTGGCTCTTTTTCTGGATGCTTTCCAATTTCTCAATGCTTCTCTGAACTTGGGGTGCTCCAAACTGTCTGCGGTCTTCCTAAGGGGCTGAACCAAGGGTTGGGTTCTATAGTATAAAGAAGGCCTTGTTATCTCTCAAGTACACCATGTTTTGCCTTTGTATGTGCCCAGTGTGTCATGAGGATTTTTTTTTGCAACCCTATTACATCATACATTTGCTAGCCACTGACACACCTAGGCCTTTCCTGGAATCACTGCTTTCCAGACATCATCTACCCAATAACAATAAAATTGTTATTTTATATTTGCCATTGGAGTATATAATAATTGATATTGATGTGGGCTGTCTCCTTTCATGGAGTGCCTTTTATGTGGTGATGTGGGACTGTGTTCCTAGAGCCCTTTATGTCTAGAAAAGGATCCCTTTAAGGCCTGGGAAGATCATGGATTCCAGGCCAAGCTCATGTTGTCCTCAGAGGTTCCTGAACTTGGTCAGTCAGATGTGTCTGGAAAGAAGAGAGTTAATCCTAACCTCCCAATTGCTGAGTATGGGCTTCCTTGGGGTGGGGGCTATTTGTGGGCATGGCAAACATGTTCTGTCTCTCTTGTAATTAACTTCTTCCATTTCTCTTTTTTTTCCTGAATTTTCTTTATGTCCTATCTATGACTTTGCCTTTGTGTGAACTATAAATTGAATTAAAAGAATTAGAGAAATTCAAAGCAGGACAAAGCTTTGGAGAACATCTCATTTTGTCCTGTCCCCCTTTCCCCGCATATGGTTCTATGGCTCTTCATTCAGAGGACCAGGGTTAAACTTTGCCTTTGACACTTAATACTTCACTTTAGGCAAGTCACTGAACCTCCTGGGCCTCTGATGGAGTTGGAATAGAATGGCCTCTTAGGTCCCTTCCAGGACCAGAATCAGTACCCAAGTCAAATGTATTCTTTTCATGCCACCACATAACTAAGGAATAATATAAAAAGCAAGCACTCCTCCCACCCCTATGGCCTTCTAAAACAACAAAACAGCCAACAGCAGCATGTGGGTGAGAAGTCAATAGATACTTAACCCAAACATATTATTCCAGAATAATGAGAAGGTTTGTGCCTAATTTCTCTCTGTGCCTGACCACTAGATTTGTTTTCAACACAGACAGTATGGTCTGCTTGGAAAGGACCAAGGTCTAAATATGACTGATTCATCAATGGATTTATGGCCTGTTCAAAACCTTGACAAGCAATGGAAAGAACCAAGGCCGGCCTGGGACAAGCAGCAGGATTTATTTGGTATGAAGTGGTTACCATAGAAGAGAGATTTGCAAGTTGTTGAAGACTAGATTTTTACAACAGCGGAATTTTGGATGTTGGGCATTATTGTTCTTGGAGAGGTCATAGTTATCAATTATCAGTTGTGCTTGGATGATTAATAGAGTTCAGAGAAGAAATTCAGAAAACAGAATGGTAGGTTTCCCTCTGGATGTCGTGCCCTTTTCCTCCCTCCCTGTTGCTCCCCTCCCCTGCCCCCGCTTCCCTTGCTCATCTTGACTTTTCCATGCAACTTCTGTAACCCATTTTTGAACTTTTAAAAGTCATGTTTTCATGATACTTAATAACTGAGTAGAAATCCAAAAGGAAACATCATGGCTTCTAAGAGCCAAGTTGTGCCTGCTTGCTGACCCCACCCTTCGGAACTCTGAATCAGTATTGCCAAGTTGTGTGTCCTGTAGGTGACAGGAAGCCCACCTCCTCTGTTGCAGAAAAACCTTTCTGTGTTTGTTTATATATATCTGCTTTTGGGACTCACTCTTGCTTTATTTTTGGGATATCTGGCCACAAATGGTCTCCCAACATTCTCTTTGTCCTTCTTGACATGGCATTCCTTTTCTTTTCAAGGCCACGGTTCAAAAACTTAGGTCAGATTTTCAAGCCTGCTGTCTCTGTTTCTTTTGGGCATTAAAACTTGATTTTATGAGCATTTATTTCTTAGGGCCCATTTTTTTCCCAGATCTTTCTTATTTAGGACTTTTGGAGTATCCTGAGCTCTTTCCAGAGGCTAACACTTTTTGGAATGACTAAGAAATGCTGAGTAGAACACACTGATCTTGGGGTTGTGTGTTTTTGCCTTAGGGCATCAGACTTGGAGCCTGACTACTTGGGATCTAATTAGTCTTGGCTCTGCCACTATCTGGCTGTATGACTTTGGACAAGTCACAGTGCAGTGGAAAGGGCAGAGTAGAGTCAGAGGACTGGGTTCAGATCCCAACAATGCTAATTACTATTACAATGCTTGGGAGGGTGATTTAACCTCTTTGTGTCTCACTTTCCACATTTGTAAAAAGAAGGTGTTGATTAGATATCTTCTGAAGTCCCTTTCATTTTGAATTTTATGACCTTCCTTCCTATCTCTAGTTCTCTGTGTTATCATTTGGAAAATGAAGAAGTTTGACTAGTGTGCTCAAGGGTCCCTTCCAGTGCTAACATTCCATGATTTTTGAAATCCTGGTGAGTCAGTTGCTGTCCTCATAGGCCATGCAATAATTAACCATGTTTCATGGGTCTAAAAGGAGAGGATGATCTCAGTTGAGTTTCCAGAGAACAGCTTTCCACATCACAGATCTCTTCCACAATGGCCACACACTAAAATGTAGCAGTCATTCTCTGAGGGAGGGGATGAGCATGGAAAACTGAGAACTACATGATATTCCAATGACCCCACAGCCCTGGTGCAGTGGTGGCCTGTGCTGGGTCCAGGATACGGGTCTCTTTGGTCTCCTGGGTGTTTTACAAATTCATGGAAGTCAGAAGTGACCATTCAGCAGGAGCATATAATGGAAGGGTAATCTCAGGAATATAACAGGTATCAAGGAATACAAATATTAGGAGTTAGGAGTGTTCTTTCATGTGGAAGTCACTCTCTAGGTATAAAAATATAAGTTCTCTTACCTCATATACTGTTTTGTTCACAGGTTCATTTGAAAGATAGCATCCCAAAGGATCACATCTTATTATATTGGTCTGATAAACACAAGTGGGGATGAATTTGAAAGCCCTTTTATTTAGAATAGGAGCTGCATCCTAGAGTTTAGGTTTTAATCAGTCTCATCGGAATTGGCAAGAGTGTTTTCCATTCATCCTAGTGTAATGTGGTGGAAAGAATCCTGAGTTTGAAGTCAGAGGATCCAGATTCAAATCCTTCCTCTTAAACATGTGACCTTGAGCAAATCATCTCAATTCTTTGGGTCTCAGTTTCTTCATCTGTAAAAGTAAGGAGGTTGGAATAGCTGGCCTCTAAGCAGGAGTATGCTGGGCCCAGCTTGTACCGGCTTGTGAGAGATGATTGCTAAATTTTCAGTGTGAGCATTTATACCTCAGAAATTGGTGAATGCTACAAAGCAGGGCTTGCTTTTATTGTTCTGTTGATTTCATAGGCTTAAAAAAAGTGATGGAGAAAATGTTAAAAATGTAGATTAAACCTAAGTGTTTTGTGTGTATTTTTTTGGAAGGTCAGTTGTTAAACCAGCACATTCTTCCCTCTGAGATTCCTTCTACTTCTAAATCTATAGCCCTGTCCATTGTGTCAACATTTTTTTTTGTCAGTAAAAGAGTCTGGAGTGGTTTCTTTTCCCTGGATGCAATCCACTCTAATTTCCTTAAATGATGACTAATAATGTTTCCCACTCCTTGGGTTGGTGCTAGGACTAGGGCTGAGCTCACCAGGCTTGAACTTAGAACCACAGAATTCTAAGCTACAAGGGTCATCTTGTTCATGTCCTTCATTTATAAGTGAGGAAATTGAAGCCCAGAAAGAAGAAGGGATTTTAATTAATTAATCACCAAAGTATTTTTTGTGCCAACTTTGTGCCAGACATGGTGCTAGGTACTGGGATGCTTGTTCAAGGCTTAGGGTCATAGATCTATTGCTGGAAGGGGCCTTAGAGACCATCTAGCCCACCCCTCATTTTATAGATGAGGAAACTGAGACTAAGGAGCAGAAGCTGGATTTGAACTCAGGTCCTATGCCTCCCAGTTCAACATGCTTTCCAACATACCACACTTCCTCCTACAGGCTCAGGGGCCAGAGATCTGAAAGGGACCTCCGTGCAGAGCCATAACAAGGAATTGATTGATATACTTGGAACAAGACGGAGGCAGGATGCCCTCAGTTGCAGAGGTGGATGAGGAAGACTACTCCCCTGTGGGATGGAAACTGATATTGTTGCAAGACTTCAAAGGAGAGAAAAATGCAGTGGGGTTGGGAGGGAACCTTCCTTTTAAGACTAATTATTCTTGTTAACTAAGTGCTAGTTAGGTCATCCATGATCAGGCTTATAGGTGCTGGGTCTTTCTTTGGGGAAGGATCAACACTGCTTCTCCCCTCCACCCCCAACTTCTGGGCAGTCATTAACCCTTCTTTTTTTTTCTTTTAGTTTTTTTATTTAATTTTTTTAATTTTTCCCATTTAATAGTATTTTATTTTTTCTAATTATACATAAAGATAGTTTTCAATATTGAATTTTTATAAGATTTTGAGTTTCAAATTTTTTTTCTCCTTCCCTCTCTCCCTGCTTCCCTCCCCTAACCTCTCCCCAAGATGGCAAGTAATCTGATATAGGCTATGCATGTACAAACATATTAAACATATTTCCACATTAGTCATGTTGTGAAAGAAGAATAAGAACAAAAGAGAAAAACCATGAGAAAGGAAAAAGAGAGAGAGAGAAAATAGTATGCTTTGATCTGCATTCAGACTCCATAATTCTTTCTCTGGCTATGGATAGCATTTTCTATCATGAGTCTTTTGGAATTGTTTTAGATCATTGCATTGCTGAGAAGAGCCAAGTCTATCAAAGCTAGTCATTACCCAATGTTGCTGTTACTGTGTACAATGTTCTCCTGGTTCCACTCACTTCACTCAGCATCAGTTCATGTCTTTCCAGGTTTTTCTGAAGTCCACCTGCTCATCATTTTTTATAGCACAATAGAATTCCATTACATTCATATACCACAGCTTGTTCAGCCATTCCCCAATTTGATGGGCTTCCCTTCACTGCCTCTTCTTAAAGCTATGGTGGGTGAGACCCAGGTCTAAGCAGGGGAGGGTAAAGGCCAGGACATTCTGCCAACATGTGAAGATTAAGGAGCTGTAAGCTTACTATGATGTCCCTAACCTTAGGTGAATGGACCCACAACTGCATGATCTTGTCCCCACAATTTGTACAGAGAGGGGATGACAGAAAGGATCCAGTTGTCAATGGGTCATATATGGTTTGGGTAGGGAGAGGTAGACACATGCTTCTTGGACTCTCTTACCTAGACCTAGTGTCTTCCTGCTTTGGGGGGAAGCCTGACCATACAAAGAAAAGGATAGGAGTTCTTGAGAGGCATTAAGAAATAGGTATTTATGACAACAGTATATGACCCCTGTGTCCCAGTGATAATATCCCAGGACAAAAATTTAAAAATTTTTTTTGGGGGGGCAGACAACTCATCCCATCCCCCCTGCAACTTTGCACTCCTGTCATTTTCTTGATTTATGTAGGAGGTATCTAGGGTATAGGAGTGACAGCAGGCCTGTGGGAAGAAGAGCTGCCTTGCTTTTACTTCCCAACTCTGGTAGAAGGGCAGGGGGTACTACAGCAGGGTCAGATCCTTGGTGAGCAAACTGGGTTCACTGATCAACGGAACCAGTTGTACCAGGAGTGTTCATACAGGGTATAGGAGAATTACTATGGCCACGTCTGTGTGGGGAGGTTGTGTTGGGGGTCTTAGCCTTCTCACTGTTACTCTTCTGTACACGGACCCAATGGTTGCTTTTCCAAGGTGTTGCTTTTGATATGAACTTTCTAAATTTGACTGCCTTTAGATTCTGCATCCTGAAGAAAAATCTTTGTCCTAGTTATGGTTCTGCATTTGAGATCATCTAGTCAAATCCTATGGGGCATCTAGGTGGCACAGTATATAGAGCACTGGGCTCTATCAATCAAGAAGATTCCTCTTCCTGGATTCAAATATGGCATCAGACACTTACTAGCTGTGTGACCCTGGGCAAGTCACTTATCCCTGTTTGCCTTAATTCCTCATCTGTAAAATAAACTGGAGAAGGAAATGGCAAACCATTCCAGTATCTTTGCCAAGAAAACCCCCAAAAACGTGTCATGAAGAGTCAGACATGACTGAAGCGACTTGAAAACAAGTCTAATACTCTTGTTTTGGTTTTTGCCTGAACAATCTTTATTTATACTTTTTTGCTTTTAAAGCATACTGCCCCCTCCCAACCCTAGAAACAGACTTGCCTTTGTAACAAAACAGTTATGTAAAAAACAGCTGCTAGCATAAGTCTGAGTGCACATGGCACATTCGCTGTTAAGAGAAGAGAGATATGTTTGATCAACTGTTCTCTAGGACCATTAGTGGTTTTCAATTACTCAATGATTTACCTCTTTTAGTGATTCTCTTGGTTC